CACTCGTTGCACTATACACAGAGCCCCGGAGAACACAGAGCGAGAGAGCGGCAAAAAGCTGCGCGCGCTATCCCCTGCACGGATCTCTCTAGATCTTATCGCCAAAGTAGCCCGTCAATAGCCTTTTTCCCTTCGGATTGTCGTGTCCCGGGTGCACGTTATACTTAATTATTTCGAGCCATTTTAGGGTCGAGTAGTAGTGTTGAGTACAGTCATTCAAAGTAAAAGAGAGCATCAGCAGTTATATACAGAGGCGCGCGCGCTTGACTATTCACTCTTCAAACTTGCGCGGCATTCAATCTTATCTCGTCTACAGTCCATTTCCAAAATTATCTGCTTTTGTCATTGAAAATACGTGTCAACGGCAGCAGAAGCATGAAAGAAGATCTTACTTTCTATATTATATTCACGCTGGTATTTTTTTCGTGTAAAGCCCCACGCGCGCTAGCAACTTCGCATTTATAGATTATTTCCCGACTCGACCATATTTTTTATATAAATATGAAATGTTCATAAATGTATTGATATAGAGTTTCAATTAACTGCGCGGCATGCTGCTACTAAAGTTGTTACTCGGGAAAGAAAAAGCTCTGACGTACTTCGATCTAATTTCTTTAAACCTCATATTGAAATTACATAGTAACACACTTAAAACCAGAGATGGAGAAGGTACGTGTAGCGTATAACGTTTTCTCGTATAGCTGGACGTGAAAAGTAATTAATCGAAAATACAAAAAAGTCTCTGATTAAAATAAAGAAAATCCATTTACGTCGCGCTGCGCAAAAGTTCGCGAGAGTTGGCACATCGTAAGTGTATACATAGGATATGTATATAAAAGCCGATACACATAGCAGCAGTAGCAGCGGCAACAGAACGATAGGAGGAGGAGGAGGGATCGGAACGAAATCGGAAAAATAGAGAGAGAATCCGAGTTATAGATAAAAGCTTCGCGAAGAAAAGTGAAACAAAGTATAAAACAAAATGGGATAAGAAAAAAAAAGAAGAGCGAGCTGAATGAAAAAAGGTGCTGCTTCTGCTGCTGGGTATACTGCGCGAACTCGAGCTACGAAAAAAAACCCTATCGATATTTACAGCAGCAGCAACAGCAGTGGAACGATAGCATTGTATACGACTACTATGTGCTAGCTATAGTTGCGTTTGTGTGTACGAGTGCGAGTGCCGCTGTCGAGACATGGGGTGTATTTTTTTTCGTTGAGAGGCTGTGTGTGCGAGAGGGAGGAGGAAGGAGGGAGAGAAATCTAACGCATTGACTCCGAGGGCGCACAGAGCACAGAGGCAGAGAGAACTAGATACATGGGCTGTGCGCGTCGACCAATGGTTGAGATCTACCCGTGTATTGGTGATATTGGCAAGCGGTATATAGCTTCTAGCCCTTTCTCTCTTTCAGTCGTACACAGGCGTACGTTTGTGTGTATGTGTATCCAGACTTGCATCTCTATACGGCAGTCGCAGTATAGTAGTACATAGAATATATACAGGTATAAATCTGAGGCAGCTCTACAAGGCGTCGATATATAGTTGGCGCGTAGCTGCACTAGCAAACTGCCGCAACAGCTACGACGCGGCAGGAGAGAGATAGGGTTGTACGCCGCCGAGGGGCTGCGGCTGACGCTGCTGCTGCTGCGAGCGAGCATCCGAGAGAGAGAGAGAGAGAGAGGGCTGCTAGTGCCGCACATATAGTATATACTCAGCTGGCGGGTATCTATCGGATAATTAGCCGGTGATTACGTGGCAACCATTCAGGCGAATATCACAGCAGCCCTTGTGCAGCAGCAGCAGCAGCAGCAGCTTTATACGCGCGTACCTACGTACGAGATACCACGTATGCTATGCGCCCTGTACACCACCTATATAGACCTCTGAATAGCCTGAAGCGGCCGACTCTGAGGTACTCTCTCTCGCTCGTAGCTCCCTTCTATCCATCTCTCTCTCCTGAAGCCCATCTGTCTGGCGGTGCACTGTAGTACGTACGTATATAGTCTCATCGACGCTCTTTGCCAACACCGACGCGCGTACATACATAGGTACACAGATAGTTACAATATATATAGCCGCTGCATATCTCGCTGCATACATATACCGTATATAACACGGTGCAGCTCTCGGCTCGACTCTGTTCTCTCTCACTTTGTGTCGGGGAAGAGAGAGAGAGAGTCCGGCAGGCGCACTTCCTGCATCTCGTTACTGACGCCGCAACGCACCGCTGACTCGCATTATAGTCTCGCACTATGCGCGCGGACGGACGATAGCCGCAGTCGATCATCGGCGCACACACACATACACACACACGCACATACAGGTGCAGACACATAGTTACGCGCAGTACCTGCGCGATACAGCACCGGCTTCAGCCATACTTGCCACTCCGTCGGCTTGATTTATCCCGCCGGGGATGCAGCAGCTTCTCTACAGACCTCTTGTATGTTCCGTTGCATATATCCCCCCCATCCCCCCATCCCCCCATGCCCGTGCGATGCATTACTGCAGCAGCAGCAGCCAAGCTGCATATAGAAACTATACACGGCTGCACGTTAGTATCGAACGATGTGTGCATATAAGGTACGCGTGACCGAGCCGCCTGCAATGCGCGCCTCGCCAGGTCGATTGCCCAGCTATATACCTCGCTTGTCCGGTACTGTACTATACCGCGCGTACCTAGACAAGACTCGCATATCCCATGCGTGAAGCTATAACCTGATTATAGCCCCTTCCCTCCGCGCACCTAGCTCTTTTAGTCTCCGTATTAGTGTCTTATTTGCACTGTAGATAACGACCTGTCGATATATGCGTATACTGTATTATGTACTTCGTGTAGGGAGGTGAAGTACACTTGCTAGACATCAATGACCTTTCCATCCTCGCAGTTCGAGTCTTTCGTCCTCACGCGGGGGGCAGCATAATCGGTAACGCAATCGCGACAAAACGAAACTTCACTTGCTTGACTCGCAATACACTTGGCGTTATAAATCGTCGACTCGACGAGTACTCCGCGCGCACAAGTCGATTACGATTATAAAGTATGTACATACTACAAACGTGAGTGATTTAATAACCAAATTGAACCCTTGCCTCGTGCTCAAATGCTCAGACAAGTTGAAAATGACCTTATACGATGCAGCATGGCGCGCATCGCCGTTTAGCGCGCGTAGTACGCACACACAAGCAAACGCAAGCAACAGTCAAGAGAGTTGTCAAATACCCAAAACACATCGCAGCGACGACGACGATGTCGACGTCACACCTGTTACCACTCGAAGATCCTCGAATCCATGGTAGACACACTACAGGCCGACCAGATGTGTGTTTATATATTGATTACGTTCAAGTGGCACTAGACAACAGTCACGAAGTTGCCGTTGCACGCGGTGATATAAATACAAGCATAAAACTATGGTGCACGCATGTCGCGATTTATAAAAGTCCATGACACGAGGGCTTATTTTGTTTTCCATGGCTGAACGTACTCATAAGAAGCATAAATGGTTAATTGCTACGTCGCGCGGACAAAGGGCAAAAACGCAACGAACGGTATGTATGCTGCAAGGGGCAGTAGTAGTAGTAGTAGTAGTAGGTGGATAATGAGGGAGTAGTACTTGCTGCACGACTAAATGAAATAATTTCGACAGCTCGATATTATCATGTAAGCTGCGTTTGCAGCGCCGCGAGAGCAGCAAAAATACGAAGAAGTTGTTTGCCAAACTCGTATGGGAGAGAAAGAGAGCCATTAGCTCTGCAAGAACGGAACTATTATTACGGCCGGCAGCGACGAGTGAAAAGCTTCGATTGCGCGTGTTTCTGTATTTTCCTTGCAGCCCGCGGAGGGCAAGGCGTAAAATTGTGTAAAAGCGTCTAGCGTGTGCTCGTAACGACGATTCAGCGTATTATTGTCGGCGTGTAATCAGGGCGTTCCGTGTTATCCAAGTACTGCACGCAATTCCTACACCAGACTATTCGCGGAAGATCTTTTCATTTTTTATATTATTTTTTACTTATTATTTATTTATGAAAAATAAAAAAGTGATGGATCGAAAATTGAAACCGCTTGAAACGGCTTATGATCGAGATACTTTTAACTCAATCCAAAATGAGATGAAGCAACATTAACATTAACGGTCCTGATATCATTTTTTTTAAGGTTCTGAAGGACGTAAGTGATTCGTAAAACTAAAGCTTACAGAATTTAGAGCTAGCCAAGTACGCTGAAAAGTGACTGGCGTTATAACATTAACTTAATGGGTTGAATATTTTATTAGTTTTTAAACCCTCTAAAATAAAAATCGTATTTTTGCTGCCATATTTAAGTTCTTGTACTATAATAATACTTTATACAACGGGTGTAATTATGTTTTTTTTTTCTGGGAAACGAGAGATTACAGCATAATTCAAAGGAAAATTCAATTGATATTATGTTTCATTTTCTTTAAAAAATTTATTAACTTTTGCAAAACTTAAACATTGTTTTTACATAACAAGATAAGATATACATTCATACATTCATTAAAACATAACGTATGAGTGGTTGAATCAAAGTGGTCTTTGATTAGGGTATTTTTTTGCATGTATCGCATGTGTAAGTGCTATATGTTTGCACCACATCTAGATTTGGAATTTCAGGTAGCCTGAGCATTCACTGATTTTATGTGTCCATTTGAAGTACCTTTTCTCTCAAAAACCTGTCGCATTTATGAGATAACACTCACTTGTGACTTACTTTCCCATATAAATCGCATGTAGATGTGACATTATTGTGTACTTTATTGACGTTGATTTTGAAATAACCTTTCTGAGAGAATGTCTTTTCACACATATCACGTACATGTTTGACACCTTGGTGCACTGTATCAATATGAGTTTTTAGAACACTCTTGTACGAAAATTTCATTTCACACGCATCACATGCATGATTAACACCTTTGTGCACCATTTCAATGTGTTCTTTGAGATTTTTCTTATATGAGAATTTCTCTTAACCCACATCTCATGCATGTTTAGTACCGATATGCACCGTATCGACGTGGGTCTTGAGACTACTTTTTTGTGTGAATGTCTTTCCACATACATCACATGCATATTTGACACCTTTGTGCACTGTATCAATGTGAATTTTGAGATGGCCTTTTTGTTTGAATGTCTTTTCACACACATCACATACATGTTTGACACCTTTGTGCACTGTATCAATATGAATTTTTAGAAAACTCTTGTACGAGAATTTCTCTTCACACACATCACATGCATGTTTAGTACCTATATGCACCGTATCGACGTGGGTCTTGAGACTACTTTTTTGTGTGAATGTCTTTCCACATACATCACATACATATTTGACACCTTTGTGCACTGTATCGATGTGGATTTTGAGACTACTTTTTCGTGTGAATGTCTTTTCACACACATCACATACATGTATGACACCTTTGTGCACTGTATCAATATGAGTTTTCAGACCACTCTTGTATAAGAATTTCATTTCACACGCATCACATGCATGTTTGACACCTTTGTGCACCATATCAATGTGTTCTTTGAGATTTATCTTATATGAGAATTTCTCTTCACACACATCACATGCATGTTTAGTACCTATATGCACCATATCTACGTGGGTCTTGAGACTACTTTTTTGTGTGAATGTCTTTCCACATACATCACATGCATATTTGACACCTTTGTGCGCTGTATCGATGTGGATTTTGAGATGGCTCTTTTGTTTGAATAGCTTTCCACACATATCACATACATGTTTGATACCTTTGTGCACTGTATCGATGTGGATTTTGAGATAGCCTTTTTGTGTGAATGTCTTTTCACACACATCACATACATGAGATACACCATTGTGTACTGTATCGATGTGGGTTTTGAGACTGCTCCTTAGTGTGAATGACTTTCCACACACATTACATGCATGAGATACACCATTGTGAACTGTATCGATGTGGATTTTGAGATAGCCTTTTTGTGCGAATGTCTTTTCACACACACCGCATGCATATTTGACACCTTTGTGCACTGTATCGATGTGGATTTTGAGATGGCTCTTTTGTTTGAATGACTTTCCACACATATCGCATACATGTTTGACACCTTTGTGCACTGTATCATTGTGGATTTTCGGAATACTTTTTTGTGAAAATGTCTCGCCGCGTATAGCACATGCGTGAGTAATGCAATGATGTAAAGATTTGACATGCCTACTCAGATTACTACTATTTGCACATTTCTTTCCATCGTGGATCGTATGATTATGTATAGTAGCGATGTGTGTTTTGAGGTTATGTTCGTTGTTACAATTGGTTGTTATTTTACTTCTTTTATTTTGCTTGCCAAGTTCACAGTCAAAATCCAAACTCAATTCTTCTACTACGTTACCAACAAATTCCTGCTTCACTTCCCCCACGGGTTCTACTTTAATTGTATTCTGACTTTTATAACCATCATCATGTTGTACATTCTGCAAATGATATTCAAAATCATCATCAACTTTTTTAGCCAATAATAAATCCTTTTTAGGCTTCACATCTTCACATTCAAATACTATTTTCACTTCGTTATAGAGTTCACTTTTAGAATTTTCTTTACATTTCCGAAATGTATAAGTCTAATGAAAATCAAATTTATGTTAAAAATTTCTTAAAAAACAACATCACTTACATATTATGTGTAAACACTTACTGCATTTTTTGGCGGAAATGGTAAAGGTTGGACATTTTTAAGATCCGGTTTCTCGTCAATCATTTCACGATCATTTTCAATGATGGATACATTATTAGGCTTCTCTTTCGCTCTGGAATAATTTCAATAATATTAAGTGTTACTTTGTAATATTTTTAAAATTTCATTTTCATGAAATGAAAATTACCTGACCCTACAGTTGAATAAACCACTGCATTCCATCTTCCTCAATTGGAATTTCGTTAACCACTAATATATCTGTGCTGATCGAGCAAACTACACAGGAAAACTGGCAAAGATCACTGAGAGCTGTATGCTCGTTCTGTTGTTTACTTCGTACGTGACATTCAGAATATCTCCGCATGTCGCCCAACGCAATGTTTGCTATGATAGCGCTACGCTACGCATAAGGCAATACGAAGAAAGTACGATCGCGCATAAGCTGCAGGTGCCCTTCGGATAGACACAGCTTTTTAAAAAATAGCGAGTACAGTTCTATGTTCTTCGTCAGTCTATTCGTTTAGTTTAAATTAAATTTAATCATATTCACAAATCATGTCATGAAATTTCAAAGTAAACAGTGTTTATGGTGCAAAACTTAGTTACTTTAATTGTGTCATTAAGGAAATTACTTTGTGCATTTTATGTGCTACGAATAGTAAAGATTTTTCCAATGATAAATTGTTACGGAAAAATTAAAAAATAATTCTACGAGTTTCCAAGCACATTTATAAAAAGCTAGTAGAACAACAAATCGAAAGAATGATATTCGTAGATGAGATGGTAACCACCCACGCGATACAAACGCTCGTTTCTTTTAGGCTCTGGCTTAAAACGTTTCACCCCCTGCCCCCCGCGCAGACCGAAGTGCAGCTCGCATTCGTAACGAAATTAACGATACAGATAGACAGAGAGTGCAGGGTACTTTGACGCACATTTTGTTATAGTGGCGCACTCTGTGCACGCGTCTGGCGTGCGTACGACGGGTAGTCGAGTACTTACTTTTTTATACTACTTTCGTGATCAAATTTGCGACGCGAGGTCACGCCGCGAAGCATCTCCCGCCGAGCGAGCCGAAACCCATTGAAGCTTTATGAGAGGCGCTTTCTCGGGCGCAGTCAACGCATTCAAATTGCCATGGATGATTGCAGCGGAGTACCAACAGTCAAGTGCCTGTGCGTGAGCGCGTGTATACGTTTCGCGTTGGTGCGTCGCGATCCGCAGGACATTATTTGAGCTCCTTGACTGATCGAACTTACGGCGCCGAGCAGCGAGTACGGTCGTATTCGCGCACGTACGACAAAAAAAAAGAAATAAGAAAACCTCATCAAGTAGTCAAAGCACGAGCTTGGTTAGTCCATGGCTTTGTTTAAGAACGTGAGAAAAATCACACTTAATACCAATATATTGCCAATACTATCCGATTCACATACAGCAATAATTTTCCAATCTGAAAATCCAAAAATGTATGTTCGATCGCGATATAAAAATTAAAAACTGATTAGCTTTAATTCCAATTGCTTCTTCCATTCGAATTGCCTTCGCCACTAGAAGGCGATCGTACCTCTACCTGTAAATCTGCAAGTGGAAATTCAAAATAATTGTATAAGTAATTGACCGTAGAGTATAAGCAACATAAGTTGGAAATTTCTTAATGTTGAAGATGCGGTGATGGGCTTAAAAACGATTTTTTGAATATCATTTGTACTGATTTTTTATGAAATAAGATCTCATTAAAATTTTTCAATCAGTTTTGATAAGTACTGAGTAGAACTCGACGATTAGACAATAAGCCGATCATTACTCGGTGTACGTTCGTCAAAAACAACTGTGAAATCCAAAGTTATGAAGAGAGAAAAAGTGAATGAAGGAGAAAGAGAGTGCGAGAGAAGAAAAGGTGAAAAGGGTATTGTACCGATCACATTCTTAGGAGTAGGTTCTTCGGTTGAGAGCACGTAAAACAAAAGGCCCACGGTGGAGCTGCACGTGTGATTGTGCGTGGTATAATATACGTATCGATATTAATCGACTCTTAGGGCACAACAACGGATCCTCGGTTTTGTCCGGAGATCGATTTGCAAACGACCCGCAACTCGCTCGTATGTATTAATGTCTTCGCGCGACGCTGACTGCGCTATATAACGTTTCGGTACGCTCGAAAGCTCAAGGACCAAATGAATCGGGCTTTCATATAGGTACGCGCGGAGTGCCGTCGCCACCGCCGCCGACTCTTTCTGTGGCGCCCAAACTGCTGCGGCCTATACGAGTACACACACACACACATACGATATAAACATCAATTGCATCGAGCAACGCCGCAGAAAGTGAGAACAATGCGTGTATACAGCATCGAGCCGAGTGCAATAGCGGGTCGCTGCTAAAACGAGTCAAGCGTTCGATCGACACAATAGCCCTGGCTTAAACGCCAGTAATTATATTTGCGACTGCTAGCACGTCGCGTAAACACGTTGCAACTCATATACACACACAAACGCTAGCTTTGAGTGCGAACGAGCGAGTAACGATAAAGGACGCGCATGGAGGGGAACGAGAGAGAGAAAGAGAGAGCAAGTGCAAGTACGGAGTGCTGCCAGCAAATCTAGGGCCGAGAGCGACTCTCTTGCTCTCTTCGTACAGTTTACTGCGCCTACTCTGTATCCAACCTGAAATACAGGAAATCCTTGAAGATTTCATATGCTACTTGATGACGACTCTTTGAGTTTCGAACTTGAGCATTCGACAAAACATCACCGCAGTGATTACTTTATACAATTGACAAAAACCATTCTAGTTGGAGATCGTTATATTGTGCACGAGTCAGAAATTAAAATAATTGGACTCGTAACTAGTACGCAAGAGTTTTTACGTAAATTTATAGGGACGAATTGATGAGCTGTTTATTATTGTCATCGCCTTACCTTATCGTGCACGCAGTGCCGATCGAACATGCAAAAATAACGAAAATGATACATTATAAAGGTACCACTAATGCAACGATTAAACAATTGTATACGTTAAAAACATGATAGTTACTACCTTTTGTTCGGGCACTGTACTTTCTCTGCCCTACAGGTGCTACAGCCCATGAACAAGCAGTGCCAATGAGCTTTGGCTAATCGGGCACCCATGAGCTTTGCCTACCGAAAAGCTGTAAGTTGCTACGCAAGGCTACGTGGCGTTAAAATAGGAACTAGCGCTTTTATATTCAATCTCACATTTTTTTTCACAAACAATAAATAAACATAATAATAATAATAAAATAAATATAAATTAATATAAATAAACATAATAAAATTAATACCGGGTTTGACTTATATAATTATTTCGACTTTACCACTTGCAGATTTACAGAAAAAGGTATTTGCCATCTAGCGGTGGAGGTCGGCTGCAATTATGATTTAATTTTCATGAATTTTTTAAATAACAACGCGACACCTGTATCATTATTAAAATTTTAATTTTCAACGTAAATATGTTGTAAAAGTACTAATTCAGTATCAGTTACTCTACTTTCATTATCTGAATTTACAGAAACAGAATTATTATTATTTTGTTTATTTTTAATACCAAAATAAATCAATTCCTTTGACACAGACTCAAAATGTCAAGGAGGCAAAAAAGTGGTTAAGTATACATTATAATTGTAAGTATACCTTATAAAATGAGCATTGAAACAGTACCACTCTAGGTATTTTATTTATATGTAAAACTTACCACGCATAGAAACAAAGGAACGAGAATGAAAAAGTGCTGGAAAACATCAAAAGCATTTTTAGACTTACAAGATGACTTTTTTGCACATTGTAAAAGTACTTTACATGCATAATGTCTTCTTTCGATCCCTTTCTTTATTCCCTGAAATCGATCCTTTCTCAGCTTCTGGGCATACATCGCCGTTGCACGTTCTCTCAAAGTACACACAAATGACATGTTAATGTCGAGCGCGCGTCGAACGAGTAGAACTGGTAATTTTGAAATATATATGTAAAGCTAAGGCCGTCGTTGGAGCGCGCTTCAAAGCTCTCGCTCTCGTACAAGTTGAAATGAAAATAAATACGACAAGTATCATTGAAAGTGGAGTTGTAACAACGAGGGTAGTTCTCGCAGCGCAGCCTGCACGCATGCCTGTATTATAAACTCACGGCAGCGCATACTCGAATGAGGAAAAGTGAGCATCGTTGCTCGCGCAAGCTTCTCTATACGTGCATGCAGAGAGTGAGTGAAAAGACAGACGGCTATAATGCACAAGCCTAACTGTCTGAGGATTTCCCAAAACTGCTAGTCGCTTACGTGAGAAAATTATTCACCAACAGCAAGAGAAAGAGAGAGAGATAGAGAGTTGTGCTCGTAGAAAAAGCTTGCAGACAAGGTACTGGAACAAGTATACGTGGAGAGGACGAGCGCGCGCGCGGCAGAGATGCTCCACAGCAGCGTAGCGGAGCTTTCGAGTATCGCTGCTTGCCAACTTGAGAAGCAGCCGCAGCAGCAGCTTTGCAGCATTCCACAGCCGGGACGAGAATTCCAGAGTAAAGGAGCAGTGCAGTGCTGGCCCTTTTGACTCTTCACTACATACATGTACGACGACGAGTCTCGAGTTGGCGCTCGTCACGAGCACCTCGTGCATATACGATATATATGTCTACACATACGCACATGGTGGTGTCGAGCCAAGAGTAGCGAATCAGCATCCTGCACATGCACGTATCCGTGGTGTACGTCGCCGTATACGTACACACATATCTATAATATACTTTAGCTTTGCGCGCGCGCGCCATTCTCCGCGCGTGTGCGGCGGTATCGCGTTCGAGGATCTCGAGGGTCATCGTGGCAGCAGCAGCAGCAGCGAATTTGCGCCGCGCTGAGTAGCAAAGAGGAGCAAAAAGCAGATTACAACGACTGTGTACACTATGTACACGTGGGCTCTGCTCCCGTAATGCAACAGCGTATATACACTGTGGATTATTTCTGAAGTAGAAGAAGCCGAGTAATGCGAGCTATATGTACGCGCGTATCGTGCGGTAGTATAGTTGCCTCCGCGACTCTTCTAGATGCACACGAGCACGTGGTCTTTTGTCCGAAGCACGAGCTCGAGTTTTTTCTTCATTTTATTTCTGTTTTTTTTCGCTAACAGGGCAGCTCGCTCGAGTGGCGAGAAAATTGGCCTCCCGCTGCTACCATACGCGAGGGTTTTAATACGCGCGAATCGCGGCGGATGTATGCTCGACTCCACCATCACCGCCAACCATGATTTTAGTCAAAAATGATGGAATTTTTCTCGGATGATAATTGTGCAAACTTTGAGAACTCGATGGACTTGATCGCAGACCTCGTGAAAACAATGTTGGAGAACGAGTGCGCGCGAGA